AAAAAAAAAAAAAAAAAGAATTGCACATCAACTGGTTAAGATAAACAGAAAAGATACATCTGGCTATGAACCTGGTTTTCAGCTTGAGAACTTCCTGGGGGAGAATCCAATTCTTTTAAATCATGCATTGTGGAAAAATCAAAGTAGTCACAGGAATAACTGTGGGAGTTATGTTGTAGATGCTTTTGTTTTGTTTTCCTTTTTTTCTTTAGAGACAGAGTCTCACTCTATCACCCTCAGAGTGCTGTGAGGTCACAGCTCACAGCAACCTCCAGCTCTTGGGCTTAGGCAATTCTCTTGCCTCAGCCTCCCGAGTAGCTGGGACTACAGGTGTCCGCCACAATGCCTGGCTATTTTTTTTTTTTTTTGCAGTTTGGCCAGGGCTGGGTTCGAACCCAACACCCTCAGTAGATGGGGCCAGTGCACACAGGCGCCACCTTGTTTTCAATACCATATAATCTTCGTTAAGGTAGTCCTATGGATACTGAACTAGAATGGATTTCAAAATACACTAACTGATTAAAGTAAGATATAAAACAGTGTGTACTTGTACTATCTATGCTATCTGATTATGAATGAACTGCATAAAAGAAATTGGGAAAAGTAGTAACCTTGAGGAGGAAGAAAAAGACCTTTGGCTAACAACTTGACAGGGTCACACCCTTCAGTCACTAAACATAAAAACCACTTCCAGGGGTGGGAAACCTACAGCCTTTTCAATGTTCAGTGTGGCCTTTTAAATTCAAATTTTACAGACCATATCCTTAAAATAGCTTTCTTATTATTTCCTTGTAGGAGTGACTAATTTTCTAGACCACATTTTTGTGGGACAAAAGTTTTAGTTTTACATGTACAATAAATCTGTTCTCAAATATGTATAAATAAGAAACTTACCCACTTAGCAAGTGGACACCCATGAGAACTTTTGCCTTCTTTCCCGGTATAAACCACTATTTCTATCCTTATTGCATTTCCTTTTTGACCATACCTGAGTATAAAACACAGTTGAGGGAATGTATTAATTAATTGCAATCTATACTTAAAACCTTCAGCTTTTTTTTTTTTTGAGACAGTGTCTCACTTTATCACCCTCAGTAGAGTGCTGTAGCATCACAGCTCACAGCAACCTCAAGACTCTTGGGTTCAAGCAAATTTTCTTGCCTCAGTTTCCCAAGTATCTGGGACTATACGCATCTGCCCATCACAATGCCTGGCTATTTTTAGAGGTCTCACTCTTGCTCAGGCTGTTCTCAAACCATGAGCTAAGGCAATCCACCCACCTCAGCTGCTTCATCCTCCTTGGCCTCTGAGAGTGCTAGGATTACAGGTGTGAGCCACCATGCTGAGCCCAAAACCTTCAGCTTTTAACATCTTAGTATTTATAAGGCTTGGATAAACAGAAGTTCAAAAATCAAACATTCTCCATAATTTAATTTCTTTAAAAATTTGTATTTGTATGGCAGATATTTTTTATATATGGGTTCTGTTTATCCATAAAGATCACTTTTTATACAAAGTCTTACTCCAAGACAAGCATTGGGAATGTAGGGTGTGCAATGTCAAGGCTAACCCATTTCAACTATTATACAATAATCCAAAAATAATCTCTGAATTTATTGAAGACAATTAGCCTTGCCTTGTGAGTGCCCTGCTATGTGCCCAACAGCTGAAGTAATGAGTGCCTCGGCATAGACACCCCTCTTTTGGGGGGCTCTGAGAAACATCCAACTCATACACTTCAAATTTGTCTATTCACCTCAGGTTTGTACCCAGATATAATTTATCTATTGATTCAGGTCCACAATAAAAATGATTTTTAAAGGGAAGCATATTTCCTCACCTATTCTCCATGATTTCCCTGACAGCAGCAACACTTGGTCCTGCCCCAAGGTGTGTATAATTTGGGCCTTTGTCTTTTTGTATAACTCGATCTGTGGAAGGAATAAGATTATTAGACCCAGAGTTTTACAGAATTGCACAGGGGCAAGGAGGAGCTGTTTTTACTTTTCCCCCTAAATTCAAGACCATGATTTTTGATGAGGTTTTAATAGAAGTAAGCTGTTAAAGATCTACTCTTACTGCTCCTAATTCTTTCTTCCTGATAATCGGAGAAAAAAATTTAAAAATATGTGTCAAATTTATACTCTTATCTCCTGCTTAAAAATCTGTAATGCCGGCTCGGCGCCTGTGGCTCAACCGGCTAGGGCGCCAGCCACATACACCTAAGGTGGCAGGTTCGAATCCCCAGCCCGGACCCGCCAAACAACAATGACGGCTGCAACCAAAAAATGGC